CACACTAGAGCCCCACTGCAGACTGGGCCCAGGAAGAACCAGCCGGACCCAATCTGTGCTCAGCGCCCACAGACCTGTGGCACAGATGTACCATCTTGCTCAGGGTTCCCTGAGCAGATACACAAAGGGGGGAAGCTGCGGGGAGCCCTAGAGTTGCTCAGTCTACCTCCCTCTTCCAAGACCTAATCCCCACCCCCACTCTTGCTGGAACCCGAAGCTCCAGGTGAAAGCTGTGAGCTGGTAGCGGAGGCTCTGGTGCTGGGGTGCACCCGGAGACTGAGAACTGCAAGAGCAAGTTGGTAAAGAAAATCCAGAAGCTCAGGTCATGTCCTCATCTGTGTGGTAGCAGCCATTTCAGGGCACTTCTAAATTTTTTTTAAGATTTATTCATTTATGCATACAGAACTGGGGTACAGGCCAGAGGTGCAGGGGCGGTGAGAGGCTTCACCAGAGACAGAGTGGGGAGCAGGACTGGCACGCTGATGAAGTGCACTAGTTGGGGGAGCAGCTGGCAGGTCAGGGGAGGTCTGCTGTGCCCTGTGGGTCACCTCCGGGACTGGGGATTGAACTCCTGCTGAAGCAGCTGTGGCTAACTTCACAGTGCTGCGCTTTAATCAGGGAGCACCCACACTTCTAGATTGTGAAGACCACTATTTTCCAACACTGGAAAGAGTGTTTTCCGGTGCAAGTTTGGGGATGCCGTGGCTGCTGGGTAGAGAACCCGCAGCAGGCATTCTGTAACCTGGGCCTCCTATGGGTCCTGCTGTCCTGACTGCGCAGGCCGAGCCTGCCTCCACCTCTCTCTGCTTCAGCATGTACGTCCACACAGTCTTCATGCGGTGCATATTTTCTGTCATTAGCCCTAGCTGCTTTGACCTTTTAACATTTAGATTCCAGAATAAGCCCCCTCTGTCAATGGTCCCATCAAAAGAAATCGTATCACCCTTCTCATTCAGAATGCTGGCAGCAGGATGGAGAGTGTTGTCACCTTTAGACTTAGGAGCAAATGTGTACCTTTGACTTCAGGTGACCAGGCTCTATAATTTTCCAGAAACCGACCGAGAGCCCAGAAAGAGCTCTCTGGAATCAGCGTCCATTGCCAGCTGTGAGTCAGAGGCGGTTTCTCCCCATCTCTGAGTCGTGGTTTACCACTTGTAACACCTGGAGGACCATGCACCTGGTGGAAGTACTGGGAGAAATATATACAGGTTAAGCAGCAGGTATACAGCAGGCGCTCCATAAGTGGGAACTATAATTACTCCCGCCCCTCTAATGACAGCCTTCCAGCATGCAAAGTTTCGGCTTCCTGGAAACCGCATAGGAGCAGGAAACAAATCTGCCCAAGACTAAATGTAAACCTCGTGGGCAGCTTCCTGGCCGTCCTCCCTGCTAGTACAGCTGAGAGGTCGTTAACAGCACTAGATTCACACTCAATTTTTTTAAATCGTAATTTTTAGAAAAGGAACCCACCACAACGGGTTAGGACGCAGCACGGCAAGCTGGCTGCAGCCCCTCAGTGCGAGTTCAAGCCCCACCCGGGAGAGGACCCACGTGGCACAGCAGACCTCTCCTGTCCCTCCCTTTGCTCCCCTCAGCAGTGTACTTTGCTATCTGCCTGTTCTGCTCCCTGCTCTGACTCCGGTGATTCCTTTCACCGCCCCTGCACCTCTGGCTTGTATCCCAGTTCTGTATGCATAAATAAATAAATAAATATTAAAAAAAAAACCCACCACCCTAATTCTGCCCCAATTTGTCCCATGAGAACATCTAAATCTCAGCTTTGCAGTTGTCCAGATGTTGTGACTGCCATCAACCCGCCCTGACCCACTCAAAGGTTGGCCCAGACTTTGTAACTAGACCTGGTTACACAGCGACACCGTGTGGACAGACAGAGTCGTGGGGCCTGGTCCCTGGGTCAGAAACTAAAACAGCGCCTCACCAACTTGAGTAGAATCACTTCCTGCCTAGCAAATGTGCCCTTACTGTCCACAGCTTAGACAGAGGGCACCGCGGCTTTTGCGCTCAAATCAAAACTGACAGAAGAGGGCACTGTAGAGTGTCATTTCTGTGCAAGGCTGACAGAAAAGCCAGGCCCCCTGGACAGCTCATTTGGTTGTCCTGAGACCTGGAAGCCCTGGGAAACGTGTGAAGGAAGCCATTGATACTGTAGAGTTATACTGTCAAAGGGAAGCTATTTTTAAATCATGAGCACGATTGACTGGGCCTGCAAACAGCGCTCAGTGTAAGAAGTTACTGTAGCTGGGCTGGGTATCACCGAGTTTTCATGGAGCCTCTCTGGTCCCGCTGCTTCTCAGCGACATTCCTCCCGCAACTCCATCAGCCAGACAAATAACTATTTATCTCATCTTGGAAGTTATTTAGGGAGCAGGAGTCTTCCTCTTCACAGAGTGGGTGCAAGTTTTTAGCCCTCTATTGGAGAAGCCTTAGGACTTGACTCAAGGACCCGGAGGCTCCTCCGAGCCTTTTCTGGTCTCCATACGCAGGAACTGGCTAGCTCATGAGCTCTCTGAGTCAGTAGCAGAAAACTCCAGGAGGAAGGAGCAGTTCACCCTGCCAGGGTGGATTCTTGAACCCCTCTGCTTCACGCACTCCAACTCCTTTCAGGATGGTGGAGAGACGTCTGGCCCTAGAGACTGTTAGGGGAACTGGAAACAGGGGCCGGAGGGTTTGGGGTCACTTCCTGTGCCTGAAGAGTATGTGGCCTGTTAACTGGCCTCTCACCGGGAGGAGGTGATCCACAGATACCAGTGAGAGGGAACGCTGGGCAGCTCCTACAGATGCCCCAGTTTCCGAAACTCCCGAGTCCTGAGTCCTTCTGACACTTCCCTCCGGGCCAGTTCACTCAAAGCTGGCTCTGTTATTTGCAACTGTGAGAGGCCACGTCACAGCACGGCCTGCTCCTGCTCCCTCGGTTTTCTCATTTGTCCATGAGATTCATCACTCCTTTCTTTAGTCCTTCATTCAGCAAATATTTATTGAATACTTTTTCTGTGGGAGGCATTGTTTTAAGTTCTAGGAGATATCACTGGGAACAACAGGTATTTCAAAAAAAAGTCTTTCCTTCACAACACATCTACAAAAAAAGGCTTCTGGAAATAAAGCACACATGAGAGAGGACACTGACTTCAAATGAGGTCTCAACCGAAGGCACTGTGGACCCCACAGCGATGGTGATGTCCTTTTTGGATTTCGCAGGTTGAGCAGGGCCTTGGGTTCACTTTGGGGAAGGTTTCACCAGAGCTTCCCTTCAGCAGCACATGGGGAGAGATTCTCCATGACAGAGACATCAGTTATGTTTAAAAGAGCAGGTGCCTCCTGCCTGTCCTGCTCCCCACTCTGGTGATTCCTCTCACCCCTGCACCTCTGGCCTGTGCCCCCAGTTCTTTTGTGCATAAAGCAATGAGTAAAGGCCCAGTCTTCCGTATGGCCTAACATGCCACCTTAGGCCACCCTCCTCAGCTCCCTAAATTTTCCTTCTAGAGAGATGAAGCTAGTCATCACTCATAACCAGAAGGAAGTGGTTTCCAGTCAAGAACAATTCATGTTCTCAGTGCTACGTGGTGAGGTTCTTTGTAATTTTTTACAGATTCCATGCCTTGGGGGCCTCTCCAGCTCCCCTCCAAAATTAAACATTCATTTCTGTGTGCGTGGGTGTGCACAGATGTGCTGCACACATGTACTCTCTCACACACGCTGAGGTTCACCCACCCAAGTCTGACCAGTGTCATGGGGTCTGGCAGTGCCCTAAGCCTAGTGTAAGAAGGAAATGACTTTACCCCCACTTCCCAGAACAGGAGAGGCTCTTCCCTAGAAAGAAGCTTCTTTCCTGATAAGCTGTGGCAGCTATAAAATCTCTAACTCAAAGGACAATCTCACACGCAGATGTCTTGCTAACTCCTAGCATCCTGGGGCTGGACAAAGCATAATTAAATACTCAGGACTTACGGGAGAAACAGTAACCAATTTGGGGTTTTAATAGCAACAGCGAGTTTTGTTTCTCACTCAAAGAACACAATGTGGAAATATCTAAAGGAGTTCTCCAACTGGAGAATTTGTCAGATGCCTTTATCAGTGGAGCCCTGGCCCAATGCTAACCTGACCCATGACTGCCCATCTAGCCACATAGCTAGGCTTCCTGGTGGCCTAGGGGGCAAGTCTCAGAGCTACCGCAACTATGGCCTGAGTTATCCTGGCCAGGGAGCTGACCCACATATGATGCTCCCTGAAAGGAAGCCTGCAACAAATCTAAAATGCCTTAAAGATACAAAATGCTGGGCCTCCCTGGTGGTTCAGGGGTTAAAATCTTGGAGCTTCAAGCTATCAAGCTGTTAAGCTAGCCACTGCAGCAGAGTTTGATTCCAGCCGGCCAGGGAGTGACCCACATGGTGCAGCAGACCTCTCCTGTCTCGCCTGCTGCTCCCCTTAGCATTTTATTTCAATCAATCCACTTGTTCTACTTCCCACTGTGTCTCAGGTGAATCCTCTCACCACCACCACCCCCTCACATCTGGCCTACACTCCAGTTCTTTCACACACACAAGACACAAATTTAAAAAGAAAGGCAGGTAGTCAGGCATAGCATCCTCCTGATTTTATTTTGAAGTCAAGGCGAACACATGCAAATACCTAAGCAAATATAGCCTTCTTGTACTCACAATGGATCTGTCAGCTTCCACCTACTGCCCCCAGAAAGAGGAGGGAAGCAGAACATTCCAGCACAAACCAGTTTTGCTTTACACCCAAACATCCTCTCCCCTCGCACCACAGAAACTCCCTGGGTGGCCACCTCGGACTAAGCACGGCATGATCTTTCCGTCAGACTGCATATTATTTTTAAGATTTTATTTATTTATGAATATAAGAACTGAGGTACAGGCCAGAGGTGCAGGGAGGGTTAGAGGATCCACCAGAGAAAGAGTGGGGTGCAAAACAGGCAGGTTAACTGGAATACACTGCTGAGGGGAGCAGCAGGCGGGACAAGAGGTCTGCTGTGCCCTGTGGGTCACCTCCCTGGCCAGGGATGGAACTCGTACTGCAGTGGCTGCGGATAGTGTCACAGTGCCACGCTTTAACCAGTCGTGCCACCAGGGAGGGCCCCAGACTGCGTGAATCATGATGATTTGCTGGCGCTAGGGGGTTGTGCACAGCGCTGGGCTGGGAGCAGGACCTGGCTGCCACAGCCCCAGTGGCTCTGCGGTTAAGTCTTCGAGATGGTTCGTTCCTCACGCCCTTGTTAAAGGTGCAGGCAGAAGTCCTAGCTCCACTCCAGGCCAACTGAACACAAACCCCTAGTGTTGGGGGCCTCTGACTTTCTATTTTAAGCTTTGGAGACCAATCAAGTTTTGCAGGTGCCAGAACTGGTGATCTGATCGCCACTTTCTCTTCCTGCATTGGGATTCCAGGGTGCTGAACAGAAGCTCATTTTTCTTGGGCTGGTCTCCATATTCTCAAGCACATTTCCACAGCATTTCTGTGGGGATTGTGGACTCTGAGCACATTTCCCAGGGTTCTTAAGGATGAATTCAAATTGCAGTTCAGTCCTTAAACGCTTTGAATATCTGATAGAAGGTAACTCTGGACCTCCAGAATAGTGATGTTGGGCAGGGCCGTAATGCCAGCCCATGTCCAAAACACTGCTTCTGGCTGGTCTGTGCAACCGGTCAGCTGGCTTGGTTAAGTGCGACTGGTCAGCTGATTTGGTTAAACACAACAAATAAACAGGGTTTAATCTTTTGTAGGCCAACTCACTTCAATCGCTATCTTTCATGGACCATGACTGGTCTATGGAATCTGAACAGCAGTGTCAGGAACAGTTTCTGGCAAAATAAACTGAAGGCTGAAATAGTCTGTGATGTTAAGAAGGTTCTTCCTGAGGTCCTAAAGCTACAGTAGCATAAATGGCCACGGATACTCCAGGTAGAATCTTTTGGATTGTTTTGCAAGTACCATTTGCCATGACCCCATTCCCACTATTTCCTCAGGAAGAAACTCTTCTGGAATTAAACTGGTGGCCATTCCTGCTAGCTGGCTCACCTGCAGGTGAGTCTCTCCAAAGCCAGCCTCTCTGTGCAGCCGAGATCAGTGTCTTTTCCAGTAGCCTCCTCCTCCCTTTCTGGGACATAACATCGGATTTCTTGGATTTCCAAGTTCTGTCGCACTCCCCCCACCCCTCCCCCCGCCAAACCCCAGGCTCCACGTTCTGGGGTTAAAAACAAGAGATGTGGCCTAAAGAAGCCTACAGAGGGCCTGGGGAGCCAGAGTTAACCTGGAGGCTAACTTGCAGTGTGAAGACAGACAGGAAGCTAAACTTAGACCTCCTGACTCCTTTGTTCATCATGGAAACAGCAGTAGGGACCACCCACTCTGTGTCCTCTTTGTTAGTTAGCCCTTGGGGAGATTGCTTCGAGCATTACCAATTTTAATTCTCATAATTATTCTCCTGTCCTTCCTTCTAATCACCAGACTTGAGCTCTAAAAAGGTCTCTGTTTCCTGACTGTCTTGCAGAGGTACACCAGGTAGTGGGTTTGAAGGATCAAGTCAACAACAAAAGGAGACTCAAGAAAACCGTGTGTCCAAATAAGGAAAAAAGGGAGAGTAACTTCAGGGAAGGGCATTTAATGTCAGCAAGAAACTGTACATCTGGGGCAGAGATGAAGAGACCGTGCCAGGCCAGCGGGCCTGACCCAGCTACGCTTCCTGTCATTCGTGAGGCCTCCCTAGATGAAGGAAGTGAGAGCAGCAGCATCCCAAGTTGGCTTCCCTGTGTGGGAGCACAGTGCGACGTCCTCAGTCCAGCTTTGCACTGGCTCTCTGTAGCTCAGGCACAGATACTCAGTTCATGTCCTTCCCCGTCCCGTTCCTCTCGGTGACGGGAACTTGCGGCAGGAGCTAGTGAGCTGAGGAGGAAGAATCATCCAGGCCCCAGAGAGGGGCCGTGGGGGGAGGGGGAAAGGGAGAGAGGGAAGGATTCGGGGTCACCAGTGAGTGATGACAGGAGAGGGTGGCATTCACAGGGAGGCGTCTGGCCTGTCACTGCAGACGCTGCCGTGGGCACACGAATGAAGGCACAAGACCCCGGCCTCTCCCTGAACCCATCAGTGATCTGGCAAGACCCTGAGCGGCTAGGTGGAAGCTGCCACCTGCAAGGAGCCTCGTGGCCTGCCCCTGGGATCCTAGGGGTGTCCTCTACCCCGAAGACACCAGACTCCCAGACAAAACCATCTTCTCCGTCTCCCCACGACCTGCCTCCTCAAGGCTACCGCGGGCAGACAGTGCACATTCCCTATGCCCTGAGAGTCCCCGCCAGAGCGGGGGAAAAGCCCCTTTGCCCAGCCCCCTGGGAGCGGAGAAGCAGCAGTGACCCCTCCTCGGACATCTCCAGCGTCTCTTAAATAAGCTTTTCCTGTCCATGTTCTTCTTTTAATTAGTTAGCATCCATCCACTTATGTATACACATATAAAATAGATTTATATAGACTTATACACATAGCCGGCGCCGCACAGGCCCGCGGCTATTTGCAGACGTACTGGTCGACCACCTCAGTGCACTTCCTGCACTTGACGAAGCAGCACCAGTGGAACTTGCAGTGACAGCGCTCCACCCGCACGCTCTTGAACTGGTCGTAGCCACGGCCACAGCACATGAGCTCGCAGCCGTCCATGCCCTCCGAGGTCTTGTTGCACAGGCGGCCCTGGGTGCCCAGCGAGCCGGTGGTGTCGTTGCGCAGGCAGTAGTCCGGGCTGGGGTCCACGTAGACCAGGTCCTCCGGGGTGGGCTGGTTGAAGCGGCTGTTCACCAGCTCCAGCCGGCCCTTGCGGGTGATGCGCATGGCGGCTGCGCTGTCATACTTCTCCTTGAGCTGGTCTCCCACCTTGCGGAACTCGGCCAGCTGGAGCCAGCAGGTCTTGAGGCTGCAGGACCCCGAGACGCCGTGGCATTTGCAGGCAACGTCTGCCATCTTGTACACGGCCTGAGGGGAGGAGAGAGAAGACTTAAGCAGCCTCCCTGAGGGAGAACGTGCGGAGGATGGCTGGGGCCTGCCAGAGGTCGGGGTTGGTGGGGGATGGGGGGTTGTTCTCCAAATGTCTGCACGGCTCTTTCCAGGATCTTCGATGGCATAGATTAAAAGCAGATAGAAGGAACGTGAGGTAGAAAAAAAAACGCTGGGGAGGGGCCCTCCCTGGTGGCGCAGCGGGTTAAAGCACAGCACTGAGAAACTAAAGCCACTTCCGCATGAGTTCGATTCCCGCCTGCCCCGGAGGTGACCACATGGCGCGGCAGACCTCTCCTGACCCGCCCGCTGCTCCCCTCAGCAGTGTACTTCGTTGATCTGCCTGTTCTGCTCCCCGCTCTGTCTCTGGTGAATCCTCTCACCCTCCGCATCTCTGGCCTGTACCCCAGTTCTGTATGCGCAAATAAATAAATCTTTAAAAAAAAAAAAACAAAAAACACCGGGGAGGCTACGCACATGTTATCAGCTACAAGGGGAACATTTGGGGCGCTTTCTACTTTCTCCATTTCGTGTGTCTTGAAATGTGTTACCAACAGTATGGCATATTTTGCCATATAAAAGGCTATTTCTATCTTGATCAAAGCTTCAAACAAATAAAAACCAACAAGAGGTTTTCAATTTCTATACCATATGCCACACCAGTGAGAAAGAGTCTGTCCCTTTGTAAAAAGCTGCTGATGTGGCCTTGGGGAGCCGAAAGCTCTCCCTCACCCTGCCAAGTCCCCTAAGAATGAAATCATTTTCTGGGTTAACCTCTGATCATTAACCCTATGGAGTGAACCATGGACCCTAACTATAAACCTGGTGACATTCGTGAGCAAGAACACACTCTACCACCCCGTGGTCCCCAGGCAGCCCCTGGGGTGCGTGTGAGGGTGGAGGGAGACAGGTGACACCCTGCACACTGACAGAGCAGGTCAGTGCACCCACCTAGGGGGTGATTCATTTGAAAACAAATCCACTCTGGAAGTCACTGAACTACAACAACGTGGAGTAGATTTGAACTTGAGTTATCCCGAGTCAAAATTTGAAAGCGAGAGTAGACCAGAAAGCTGCTTACCAAGTGTTTTTCAATGAAAGCACACTGCTGCATTGTGTCAGACCCCCTGGCAGCAGGCCCAGAAGTGCAGATGGCAAGATAAAAATGCAAGCCTGCTGCAGGACATTTTGTCACCAACAGATTCAGGACTCATTTTTTCAAGGTTTTTCACTCTGATTTCTTTTCAAGAGTCCCCAGATTGTGTCTTTATTCAGCACTATACAGAGCACTGCAGGTGCAAAAAAATAGTTTAACCATCATCAGCTCATATTACTATTGTTAAACCTCTTTCTGGTATGGCATTATTCCCGCCAGTGTAAGGTGGAGAAATGGAAGCTCTGGAGGCCCCGAAAACAGCTCCAGGCCACCCAGAAGGCAGCCAGACTGCTGGGCTTCTGCACTCCCATCTTGGGGCTTAGAGGCTTAAACACGGCTTAGGGTAGAGAAGGAAGGAAGACTCCACCCCAAGGTTAGAGGCGCTAGCACTTGGCTAGCTCCAGGCACAAGGCACAAAGGAACCCACACCCCATTCTGACAGGCACTTCAAAGAAGGGCCTGCAATTATCCTCTGGCACAAACCCCCAGGGTCTGAGGGCAGCCTAACATTCCTCTGGAAATGGCGCTGGGTTTAGAGGGATAGAGAGGGATGTCAGGCGTCTGGCGCTACTGCAGGAAGCATTAAGGTCTACACTGTGTACCCTGCGACTAAGTGACTAAGGGAACCGGATAAGCATCTTCTCTGGGAGCAAACACTTAGGGAGATGGGGGGTGGGGTGGTGTGTGTGTGTCAAGACTCCACAGAACAAGGATAAGAATTTGGGTGGAACAAATCCCAGAGAACGTCTGTCACTTACTCTCACTATTTAGACATTCATCCCATCCTTCCTCCAAGAAGAAAGGCATGGTAGAGGCAGCAATATTTGTCTTTTTAAACATTGTATTGTTGACAACATAGACTAGTATCAGGCATCTCTGTGTGTGTGTGTGTGTGTGTGTGTGCACATATATGTACTTCTTGTAGAAGGGGGCAAAATCCCAATGGTTGGCCCCTCATGCTAATGAAAAAATAAGAGAGTGTTAAAAAAATTTTTTTTGTTGCTGATTCACCATTTTCCCCTCTGGCAAAGCCCTCTTCAAGTCTCTCTCCCACTTCTACCTAATGGTGGGGCTGAGTGTGGTAACTGACAGGAATGTCACCAGGATTAGACAGCTTTTATCTGGACAATGCGCAGGCACTCGAGTGACAAGGCACTATCAACCCATCACTCTTGCCACCAAAATCTAAAATGAATTGATGAGAGGCTCTTAAAGGCCAAGAGAAGTTTCTGGCAAAGTATGCCCCAGACTTCCTCGGTGGTCAAGATATCAGATCCTTAAAATACTGTAAAAAAAAAAAAAAAAAAAAAAAAAAAGATAACCTACTTACAAAATGCTCATCCAGAACACATTCAATCCCACCCGAAGGGACTTTTTGTAGGTGTGAGGAAGTAGGAGAGGAATACCTTTGGCCTCAGATGGTGATTGATAGGCGAAGTCTGTTCCTTGAAGAGGGGATAAAAAATAGAGAGGAATGGGCCCTCCCTGGTGGCGCAGCAGGTTAAAGCACAGCACTAAGAAACTAAAGCTACTACAGCATGAGTTCGATCCCCGCCTGCCCCAGAGGTGACCACATGGCGTGGCAGACATCTCCTGACCCGCCCGCTGCTCCCCTCAGCAGTGTACCTCATGGATCTGCCTGTTCTGCTCCCCACTCTGTCTCTGGTGAAGTCTCTCACCACCCCTGCACCTCTGACCTATACCCCAGTTCTGTATGCATAAATAAATAAATCTTGAGAGGAACAAGAATTCCCAACCTGGAGCAGGCAGAGGCAAAGGGAGAGATAAAGAGGCAAAGGGAGAGATAAAGAGCCAGGGAAGAGGTCTGGAGACCAGAGGAAGGGGGGATACGGAGACGGAGACGGAGACGGAAGAGAGGCACAGAGAAAGCCAAAGCCAGAGGAGAGGCACAGAAAAAGCCGGGAAGGTGTGTAAGAGAAACAAGGCAGATGGAAGGGAATGCGCTGTGAGATAAGGGCCAGTGCAAACAAACAAACAAACAATTAAGGGCAATAAAATGAGGAGACAGCAGAAGGGGTCAAGACTGGGACTGAAACTGCCATATTAGGATAAAGGCCTAGTCACCCGGGCATCTGCCACAAAGCCCCAGCAAAGCTCAAGCAAGGGCAGGAAATGCTTTCCCTGAATTTGACCTCTTGGCAGGTAATATGGCCACTTCCATGCGTGCCACAGGTGCTCACCCTGGAAAGCACAGCAAAGGGGTTGGATGGCGATGCCTGTCCTCAGAAGCCACAGCCAGAAGGATGAAGCCGAGTAAGCCGGGGCTCAAGAAAGGCTTAAAATGCTCCCTACAGGGCAGAGCAGAGACACAAAGCATGGAAAACGGGGACACTTTTATGAACTAGGTGTCCCTCGATTTGGGGCCTTGAAAAATGGCTCGAACTTGGAATTCAGGACATAAAGATAGTAACTTTTTTTTTAAGCCAATCTCTCTCATAGCTACTCAACGGCTGGCGAGGGAGCTGCCAGACAGACAGGAAGCCCTGGGAGACTGAGGCCGCTCACAGCTGCCCCCAGCACGGAAGTCACCCGCAGCGTTTCTGGCCGCCACGGACCACAGCGATGAGCAGATGAGCGCCGGCGCAGTCACTGCCGCCCACACAGCCACATCTGGCTGAACACAACCAGGCTCCGGTGGGCGGACAGCCAGCTCTCACTTGATCTGACTTCACATGAGCTGCACAGACGCAGCACATTGGTGATGCTACCTCTACACAGGGTTACTGGCTTCTGCCAAACCCCCAGTCACACAAAAAAGACATTTCCACCTCCGTTTATCTGGTATGTGTCCCGTGAAGCCTAAATTCATTTTTATGGATATATAAACATATTTTTAAAATATGTCTATCCAGGCCCTCCCTGGTGGCGCAGCGGGTTAAAGCGCTGCACTGAGAAGCTTGAGCCACTTCCACATGAGTTCGATCCCCGCCTGCCCCGGAGGAGACCACATGGCGCTGCAGACCTCTCCTGACCTGCCCGCTGCTCCCCTCAGCAGTGTACTTCGTCAGTCGGCCTGTTCTGCTCCCCCCTCTGTCTCTGGTGAAGCCTCTCACCCTCCGCATCTCTGGCCTGTACCCCAGTTCTGTATGAATAAATAAATAAATCTTTTAAAAAAAATACGTCTATCCAGGGCCCTCCCTGGTGGTACAGTGGGTGAAAACACAACACTATGAAGCTGTCTGCAGCCACTGTAGCACGAGTTCGATCCCCAGCCTCAGAGGTGACCCACGTGGTACAGCAGACCTCTCCTGACCAGCCAGCTGCCCCCCTCAGCTGTGTATTTCAGTCCATCTGGTCCATCTGCCTCTTCTCCTTCCCCACTCTGTCTCCGGTGAATCCTCTGACTCTCCCCACAGCTCTGCAGAAGTACCCCAGTTCCGTACTTATAAATAAATAAATCTTAAAAAAAAGAAAGAAGGTGTGGTGTACTTGATATTAAAAAAAAAAAAAATACATCTATCCAGGTGCCCAGTCACCAATGCACCAACATTAAGTCTCTCAATCTCTTTTCTAAGACGCTGTTCTCATGTTTTAACTGGCTCATCTTTGGTCTCACACAACAGCACTTTGGCTGGTCCCTGAGTCAGCTGGCCCTGGAGCAGCCCTCTCTAAGAGGAGGTTCCTGTAGTTTCCTGATTGCTGGCCCTGGCCCTTTGCCAGGAGAGTGGCCCCGTGCTCAGACTTCAGACCTCTCTACAGAGATACCTGTGTGCATCCCCTCACCACCCAGACAGACCCGAATCAGCAGAACCAGCAAAAGGCACAGCTTCTAGCTGACCCTGATTTCCCGAAGCCTCAGCAGGCCTTCTCAGGGCAGCCAAAGAGAGAGGAGGCCTGATGACACACAGGTAGGGTCCGCATGAGCAGGGTCAGAGCAGGGTCAGCCACCAGAACAAGGTCAGCAAGGTCAAGGAACCAAGCCCACCTCCACCCTCCATTTCAGTCTACGGAATTCAAGGCTCAGGAGACAGTCACATCTTGCTCGAGAATGGGAGGACCCGGCCTTCAAAAGACAGCTGTCTTTCACACTTGTGCTCTGTTACCATGCCTAGCTGGGAAGCCTGTCCTCCATGATTGCCTGAGTAGGCTTCTGGACTGCGTTTCCAAAAATGTCTGAATGCAATTCTTAAAACTCAGCTTTGCATTTACCTTAGCCTTGAACAATCCTAACCTCTAGACCAGGTCTAATGGCCTAAGTGCCCAATCAGCTCATGTGTCCAGACACAAAGGAGGGACAGTTAAGACCACTGCTTATGTCTGGGATTCTGATCAGAAGACTGAAGCTTGATCCCTAAAGGACAAAATGTCCTGCAGAGAAATAAAAAAAGTGAAAAATGGGACAATGTTCTATGCCCATTGGGAAATGGAGGGTTTTTTAAAAAGATTTATTTATTTATGCATATAAGAAGTGGGGGACAGGCCAGAGGCATGGAGTGGGTGAGAGGATTCACCAGAGACAGAGTGGGGAGCAGAACAGGCAGATCTACCGAAATCCACTGCTGAGGAGAGCAGCGGGGAGTCAGGAGAGGTCTGCTGTGCCATGTGAGTCAGCCCCCTGGCCTGGGATTGAACTCCTGTCCCAGTGGCTGCTGATGGCTTCATAGTGCTGTGCTTTAGCCCACTGAGGACTGGGAAATGGGGATTTTGAAAGGTACCTGGGTCAGAAGTTTTAGGTGAGAATCTTGATGAAAGGTGCTGACTGCCAGCTAACATTGCTGTAGTGATCATGGTAATATACAGGTGTCATAAACCAACAGCCTTTCCTGCAAACTTAAACGCAGCATGCCAGTTACATCCCAATTTTCAAAAGAGAAAGAGAGACTGACTGCCAGTTGGGAAAAGTAATAAATACCTAAACAAGGATTTCATCCAACGTGGCTCAATTTTAAAAGATTGACTCCTACCTACTTTCTTCCTTCTTTATGAAATGCAATGTGCATAGAAGCCAAGTTCATAAAAAAGGATGGAACACTTTAAAGAGAAAGTAATCTGGATGGTCACGCCAATCCTCTTTCTGGACCGCCCGGCCGCGGGCCTCCCTGGCCAGGCCGGGAACAGCCCAGGTGGTCCGCGGTGTGTGCAGAGGAGGGGGCAGCTGGGTGGGATATACGTGCGTGCGTGCGTGCGTGCGTGCGTGTGTGCGCGCGTGCGCACAGGTGGGGGCGGTGGGGGTTGGGGGGCTCAAGGATGTGCTTACCCTTCGACCAGCCTCGTTGTTCTGCAGATTCATGAGCACTCGGCCCTGCTCCTCTGATCCCTTGGCAAAGTTCTTCTCCCGCTCCCGGGCATCCACAAACTCCTTGGCAAAGCGGTAGCCGTACTCCACGTTGTCCCCACAGCCACCCCACAGCCAGTCCCGGGGGAGGTCCTTGGGCCGTGCTGTCCGGCTGCAGCCACATGTGGAGAGCTCACCCTCACGGCAGGCTCGGCTGATGGCATTCACCACCCCGGCCGCGCTCACCGCGTAGGTGAAGGCAGTCTCTCTGCTCCCTGAAAGAGAGGTGGTAGCTGGAGGTGGTAGCAAGGCCAGCCCACAGGAAGGCCCTACCTGCTCTCTGCTCCTCAGACACCATGGCCTGACTGTGACATTCCCAGGTTGGGGGTGGGGCAGGATCAGCAGGGTGCACCTGTCACCTCATGTGGTTCTCACAATTAGAAACTTCTCTGGAGAATAGCTAAGATTTGACTCCTCTGCCCTGTGGGCACACAGGACAGAATGCACCCCCCACTCGCTCCCCTCAGCCCTGGCCTACATCCTCAACCAACCCAAAGAAGCTAGCATGACCAGTAGGCTCCCAGGGGGTGGATCTAATGGAGGAAAACTGGGCACTAAAGATGTTATGGAACACATGACCTAACAGAATGAGGCTAAGAAAGAACTCATGCAACAGTGGGATTCCAGCCTAGTAAAATTTCTCCCTCGCAGCTGCAATTTCTCACCACCTCAGAGCCACACACTTGTCTTTTTCACAGTTGGCATCATCTAGAGACACCGGGAGTGGCAGCACCAGGTCGAGACCTGGCAGAGCAAGGAGCCTGGACTTACCATGCCCAGCATTACCCACGATGTCTTACGCTGTCTGCCTTGCTCTGGGTCCACACTGCCCAGACTGGGGCCCTCATGGAACCGCCCACACGGTCTCTCTGAATAAGCTGATCATTTCCAGTCAGAAAATCCAAGCTGGGTTCCTCTTTTTGGCTGCAGTAAACTGCTTAAAAACGCATGTGTATGTTCTACTTTAATACAAATGTTTATAAGAAAAAGATCAGATGCCAGGGAAATGCAAATCAACTCACAGCGAGATCCCACTTCATAGACATAAGGATGGCTACAATCAGAAAGGCAACTAATAAGTTGGGGAGAAGATGGAAAAACTGGGGCCCTCCTGGACTGCTGGTGGGAAGATTAAATGTTGCAGCTGCTTTGGAAAACAGTCTGGGAGGTCCTCAAAAGGATAAGCAGAGCATTACCATGCAACCCAACAATTCCACTCCTAAGAAGATACCCAGAATGAACCAAAACAAATGTCCACACACAAACTTATACAGGAATGTCCACAGAAGCACTGTTCCTAATAGCCAACATGTAGAAACCACCCAGCATGGCCAGCAGCAGGTGCACAGGCAAACAGAAGGCGGGCTAGCGCTACAACGACGTACGACTCCATCATAAACGTTAACAAGGTGGTAGAAGCTACAGGATGAGCCTTGAATTTGTGTCTGTCTGGAGCCAGGCACAAAACGTCACATCTTGTATGATCTCATTTGTTTGAAATGTTGATAACAGGAAATTTTATGGGAACAAGCGATTAGTGGCTGTCCAGTGTTTGGGGTGGGATGGAGAGTGGCTGCTATAGAGTTTGGAGTTTATAGAGTTAGGCAGTGCTCTGGAATTAAGAGTGGTGATGGTTGTACCATCTTGTCATGATACACTGAAATAAACACTTTAACATCGTGAATTGGGGCCTCCCTAGCAGCACAGGGGTTAAGTCTCAACACTATGAAGCTAATGGCAGCCACTGCAGCATGAGTTCGATCCCCAGCCAGGAGCTGACCCACATGACACCACAGACCTCTCCTGTCTCGCCGGTTGCTCCCCTCAGCAATGCATTTCAATGGATCTGCCTGTCCTGCTCCCCACGCTGTCTCTGGTGAATCCTTCCACCCCCCCCATGTCTGGCCTGTACCCCAGTTCTTATATGCATAAGTAAATAAATCCTTTTTAAAAATGGTGAACTGTATGCTATATAAGTTATATTTTAACAAAGTTGCCTTAAGAAATAACAATACTCGGCCCTCCCTGGTGGCGCAGCGGGTTAAAGCACAGCACTGAGAATCTAAAGCCGCTTCTGCATGAGTTCGATTCCCGCCTGCTCGGGAGGTGACCACATGGTGTGGCAGACCTCTCTTGACCCGCCCGCTGCTCCCCTCAGCAGTGTACTTCGACATTCGGCCTGTTCTGCTCCCCACTCTGTCTCTGGTGAAGCCTCTCACCGCCCCTGAGCCTCTGGCCTGTACCCCAGTTCTGTATGCACAAATAAATAAATTTAAAAAAAAAAAAGAAAGAAATAACAATACTCATACAGACTCAGGTATGGAGGGAGGGAGTAACTTTAGGAGGAAATTAAGGTGCACTCCTGATCTTGGCAATTAAACCAGACAATCTCCGGCTCCCCACTTCTTTCTTCCATGGTCAGAAGCTGGCGTCTGTGTTTAGGCAGGTGGAGGGAGGCGCAGTTTGCAATCACTAGTAGTTCTAGGTGATCCCCACCTCGCCCTACTGTGTCATCATCGAGGCACAACACCAAGAAATCTGCCACCAGACCACACCAGGCGAGTCTGTTCTTCTCAGTTAACCAGGGACTGGCTTCAGCCCAAGGAGGAACCCAGGTGACTTGGTAGCCCCGGTCAGGACTGGCCCCAGGACTGGCCTGGTCAACAGTGAGCCACCCCGAGAGCATGGGAGAAGGCTGGTCTAGGGGAGAGTGAGCTCCCTGGCAAGAGGGCCAAAGGCTCTTTCCAGGAGGGCCGGGTCCCACTTGCAGACACTCCTGGCTGAGAAGTCTCCAGACGCGCCTCAAGCCCCGACCTGGCGTGCGGCACAGGGAGCGCCTCTGAAGCCGTAGCCTGGACGCACAGGCCACACCGCTGGGAGCTCGGAGCCAGGGCTGGGCTCTCAAGGCAACCCGCTGTCTTCTCCAGGGACACCAATCACCACAGTGCTCTTTCTCAGACTGAGCTGCGATAAGCCTCCCTGGACTCCAGTCTGCTGCAGCTCCGCTGTCTAATCCCTTCTCCATTTGACAGCCCTGCAGTATTTGAAAACAGCTAACATGCCTTTTATGTTTCCTCTTTTCCAAGTTACATATGTCTGATTGCTTCTTGCATCCTTTAGCAAACCTGCTTTTTGGAACTGACTCGCCACTCTCAGAACTGCCTTTTAAAACAACCAGCCTGCAGAGGACATGCTGCAGCGGAAGGCAGACTGTCACGGTGGTCTGGGGCCCCTGGGGCCGTCCAGTGAGACAGCTGTCTCCTGCAGTCAGTCTGCCTGGGGGGGGCGGCCTCTCTGGGCACTGCCTGCGGTAGCCCTTGGTAGCTAAGCCTGCCATCAAGGGCCACTAATGCCTTGCTCTAGCAAGAGCGAACTCGGGACAGGAAATGTAGAGGGCTTGTGTGTAAGTAAAACAGGTCAAAGTAGAAACTCAAACATGTCAAGGGCTAAGGCAAACTCTAGCTATGGCGCACCACCCCCTGCAAGGGGGTGGCAGGACCAGGACGACATCCAGTCTGCTCTCTCCACAGCAGGACCCGATGTTCCTGAGCAGGACCTCACCCACCAGGGAGGTGTCCAGGCTCCTCCGGGAGAGGCTGGGAGAAAAGCCAGTGGCTCCCTCCAAGCTGCTCTGCTGCCCTCTGGTGGCCACTTCTGCAGCAGTTTCAAGAAGAAAGGGGTCTTGGAAGTGCGCAGTGATAGCTAGGGTGGGCGAGGCAGGGGTGCAGGAGGGCTTCCCAGGTAGCCGAGCAGGCAGGGCAGCCTCACAAAGGGCGTGGATGTGAAGCAAACAGAAAGGCTCCATTTGTGCCGGGTCAGGGTCCAGAAAGACTTGCCACTGTGGCGAGTCAACCCCCAACGTCCACCTGTACCCAGGGCTTTCAGTCCCTGCCAACACTTTTCCCCTAAAGTAACCCTCACTTTTGGCCCTTGCTCAAGCAAAATAACCCACGAAAGGATCTCTCCAGGGTCAGGCAGACACCAGCGTCCAAAGAGCTGTTACTGTCCCTAAGGTGATTAGGGCTGCTAACCCGGGCCACCCTCCTTTTCTCATTCAAACCCCAGGGCAGAGTGCTGTTGACTGAGACCGCTACCAGAAAGAAGGACAAGCACGAAGGGCCTTGGAGGAGAATGAACAAATCATGACCAACACCCATGTCCATACTTCGGGAACACTGCCCAGTGGGGCCGTCGCTGGACAACCAAGCCTCCCTTTTAGGGTCAGGTCCCCGAGTGGAGGAGGCAAGAGCCAGGCTAGGCCTGCATTTCCCTGGTCCTGAGGCTCTGATGGGGCAGGAGAAGGAGGGGGAGGCTGGAGCAAATGGTTGTATGGGCCAGGAAAGGGACAGGCCTCCCATTGTAACCCAGGCCTCAAACTCCCAACTCCCAACAAGCAGACTAGTATCAGTCTCTGGGAAAACCCGGCCTCAGGTAACTCCAGAATGTGGCCTTTTGAGGGGAAACTTTTCTGGGAGAAGTGAGCCAAGAGAGCACAGAGCTCTGACACCTTCCTTTTATGGCCCCGGGGACAGAGCCAGTAGAATAGGGCCGGATTTCTCAATTTCTTGCCAGGGAGAGGAGGATTGCATTTCAAAAGGACCTAAAACAATTAGACCCCAGATCACACCTCCATCTAAGCAACAGGGTAGCCCAAGAATCCTAGAGCTGGAGTGGGACAGGGGCAGGACAGGGATCCAGGAAGAGGTAGCCCTCTCATCTTCTGTCTGTGCCCTTCCCCCACTTTCACACGATTCCCCTTTCAAATGAAAAGGCCAGGCCTGGGCTGGGTGGGGTTAATGACAGCTATCACCAATTTGGCCCAAGGTCTCAGCGTCAAGTGGGAGAGGCAAAGGTCCTATCCACACTCTGGCGGCTGCTTGCAGTTGTCCATCCAAGACTCTCCGAAGAGGGCCTGGTGCTGGGACTTAACCCCGAGGCCACGGAGGGCTTCCCGGTCAGCCTTGGCCACGGAGGGCTTCCCGGTCAGCCTTAGCTCACCCGGATGTTCTGGGCAGCCCAGAGGGCGTCTGGGCAGGCGGCCCGTGGAGGCAGAGGGCTCACTGAGAGGGGAGGTCAGCTTCCGCAGGGCGCCTCTCTCCTCGCACCTGCTTCCAAACCTCCAGACAGCACACAGCTCGGGGCCGGTGCCGATCCGGCGCCTTTAGCCAGGCGGCGGTCGGTGACTCTTACCTATCTGCATGACTCTCCCGAAGACAGACGTGTTATCCACGGTGCTGCAGTTCCACCGTCTCTGCCGGAACTGGTACTGGCACTCCTTGATGCCTGTCTTGGCGCCTTCCCCTATATAGGCCATGTGCTCCTGGTACAGCTGGCACAGCTTTCTCTGACCGGGCGAAAGCCCGGGAAGCTGACTGCACACTGGCTGGGCACCGATGATAAACATCTCAGGCCTCTGCACCGGGTTCATCGCTAAAGACCTACAGCAGAGATCCAGAAAGGGGAGAGGCCAGGGCGTGAGCGAGGGCCTGTGTGCCGCAGCAAGTCATTCATCCAACACACTCGTTGAGTGCCTTCTGCGTACCAGGGGCTTGACAGGGAATTAGGAAAAAAAGGGTACCTGGGCCCTGTCTGGTGCGCAACAGGTTAAATAAAGTGCAGCATTATGAAGCTATCGCAGCCACTGCAGCAGGAGTTTGATCCCCACCCCGGAGCTGACTCACATGGCGCGGCAGACCTCTCCTGTCCCGCCCGCTGCTCCCCTCAGCAGTGGACTTCACCCATCTGCCTGTTCTGCTCCCCACTGTCTCTGGTGAAGCCTCTCACTGCCCCCACACCTCTGGCCTGTCCCCCAGTTCTTGTGTGCATAAATAAAGCTTAAAAAAAAAGAAAAAGAAAAAACAGAGTACCTGCCTTCAGAGGCACTGTGGGGAAACTGAGGCAGGAGCACAGATGACATGCGAGATGTTAAATGTTCAGACTTGTGTCTGGGTGCGTGGTGATCAGCGAGGAGAGAGCCACGGCAGAGCACAGGCTCCTCATGGAGGCAGGGACCCGAGCAGGGGGAAAGTGCCCGATTTGCTCAGGGAGCGGCAGTGGTCAGGGCAGTAAGCCCAGCGCAGGGTAAGGGCTGGGAAGCAAGGCGTGCCTTTCAATAGAACTGCCTGATGGCTTACATCCACTGTGCGGACAAGGCGAACAGTCTGTGCTTCCATTTCCATATCTCACGCACAGAGCCCCTGCCCACTCTCCACTGAGGGCCCCGTTTGTTCATCAGGTACCAAATATAATAACCTGTCACATTAGGTGAGAAGGCTGTAGATTTCCTGCCTGAGCAAAAATGTGAGCAGGGCACAGACCATGCCAGGGAGCTGGTGAGCTCCTGCTGCCTCCATGTGACTTGGCAATGACAACAGTCTTCAGAACTCAAAAAGAAAGCCACGCCTGACACCCACGCCCCTCCTCAGGTCTCGGGCTTAAATAGCAATTCTACTCTCCTTGCCTCCAGCAGCCAAAAAAACAAAATCAATATTCTTATTGATCCAGTAGCAAGAAAAGAGTTACTTCCAACAACCCACAGCGGGGGTGCGGGTGGGGAGGAAGGTCCTAGAAAAGGGGACAGGGACAGGATGTGCAAACAAGTGAGGTCAACTAATCCTTTATCGTGAGAAGCTTCACCTCTGGGGGCTTGAGAGAGAAAAGTTGCTGACCTAGTTTTCGTGGGATAAAAAGCACACAGGATTCCCGTGACTAGGGATGGTGTAGACATGCAGTGACCCCTCTCCACACTTGGGTCCCCATGGGGGACTCGGCCCTGTCACTCACCACCAAGAGCTGGCTTCGGCAGGCAGCTGGGCCCAGCTGGAAAGGAGCGCAGCAGTGAGCAGCAGCAGGCTGGACATGGCGGTCCCCTGCCCTCGCCAGTGCCCTGGGAAGACCCCCGGGACTTGCAGCTTCCAAAACAGAACTCCCTGGAGGAGAGAAGGGACGGGAGAATCAACGTGGAGATGCAAAAAACAGAGGGAAAATCAGCGTGGGCTGGGTAGGGGCCCCGGGGGATCACAAGGATGCACCCTGGTAGACGGGAGTCAAGTTCCCCTCAGAGAGATTCAGCCTCTTCCCACTCACCAACCACCGCCTCGCACTGCTCCCCACAGCATGGCTTTTACGTCTCTGAGCCACATCAGCGAGAGCCCAACTCCGGACTGCAGGAGGCGGCATTAGGAAGAGGCTCTGCTTGTTGCAAAGTGTACCTGCCCTCTTCCAGAGCATCCCAAGAAACCAGGATGGAGGATCGTGCTATCGGCTCCTCCCACCCCTCTTTCCCCAGCCAGAGATGCAGCTCTCCGACTTCGCGTTTTCCTTGTGGGCCAAGAAGGCAGTTGGTGAGCTGGATTGGCCAACACCGAGTCTGAATCTCCCTACACGGTTCCCCAAGCCCCAGACCGGTTTCTTCTTAACCAGGAATGACAGCAGGAAAAAGAAGGGCAGTGGCTTTTCACTTGCTCAAAGCAACTTGTCTGAGAAACACCAAGGGGCCACGGGGGGGGGGGCAAGGCGGTGGGTCCCAGCGGCCCCTCTCCCCATTCTTAGCTCAGTGGCCCTCGAGGGGCGTCCAGGAGCTCTCCCCCGCAAAGACTAAAGACCGGCCAGCAGCCTGGGGTCTGCATTCCCTGCATCTAACGCCCAGGGCGCGGGGCACATCCTCCAGAAGCAGAATCCCTCCCCTAGGAGTCCGGGGCTTCCCACATTTTTGCCTCCTGCTTTTCTAACTGATGTCTGCGTGCATATCCCCAAAGAACACCCTTCTTGGGGCTTTGAAAGCAGAAAATCTGTGCTTCTGCAGCCTAGACAGCCTATAAAACACGCCCCCTCCCACGCTCCCCACCTCACTCTCCCTCAGTTCCCATCCAGGGCGTGACCCCACGTCTCCAAAGAATCTTTCCAGGACCCCTTAACACCTCCGACGTGCACACACAGACACACACTCGCACCCGGGCTCCGGGCTGTGCCCGCCCCGGCTCACCGAGCTGCTCCCACAGATCTGGGTCTCCGGGCTCTCCGGGAGGGGGCGGCAGGTGCTTTGGGTCATCAGCCTAGGGGGTATTTTGGTCCTGGGGCCACCAAGAGAGGAAGGTGGCCTGAGCTGGAACCAGGGAGCCCGTCCACAGCTTGTGCCCCACCCCCTTTTGGTTTTTCTTCTAGAGGTCTCAGCTGGGGCTGGGGGGGTGGGGGGACACCAACAGGCAGGTGTGTGGGGCCGGCAGGGGGCAGATCAAAGAAGAAACTTGCTCCTTTCCCTTTGTCATGCAGAGCCAGCTCGGAAATGATCCGGCCTCTTGCCCCAGCCAACTAACAGCTCCCCACACCCTGCTTTCCTACAGACTCTCCTCCAAAGGATGCCTCCTCCCCCTCTATCCCCCATAAATCCTCACCGTCCCCTAGGGCAGGAGGTCTGTGAATGCACCGACTGGAACCGAGAGATGGAGCAGAGATAGGGCTGGCACCAGGAGCTAATGGCTTTATGGAGGGGAGGGGACCAGGTCCAGAGAGGGGAGGACAGAGAAAAGCTTCAAAGCGGTTCCTTGTCCAAACATCCTCAACTCCACCTACCAGTCCTTCGCTGACCGAAGGCTCAGAGCTGCCCCTCTCCCTTGGGTCCCTGCCCCTCCCCCACAGCTCCGCAGCCACCCGCTTGCCAGCCCGCCAGCCACCACCCCAGAAGAACATCCTCACACATTGCCACTGCCAGAGCGCTGGGCTCTCTCCCCCAGCTGGTGACACTCATCCCCTCAGCTATCCCCTCGCACCAGCAACTCTCCCTTGAGTCACACCTTTTCATCAGGCTCCTGAGAAATCTTTCTGGCTCTGCAAGTCCCAGGTTCAACTGAGGCCACCTTGGGGCCACCGTGTCTGGGCCAACTACAGGCACGATGCCTGCTAAGTTCCCCGTGGCTTTGACTCCCCAGTGACAGGCAGACAGGCCAGTGAGGCCTAAGCCAGTCCTGCAGCCGGCCTTCCCTCCCGGCCATCTACACAGACCTGGAGACCACAAACCCAGCTCATTCCCACTGCCCTGACCTTTCACCAAACTCTCAGCTCACTAAGGGACGTCTTAAAAAAAAAAAAAGGCTTGCAGCAACATGGATGAAGCTGGAAAAGATCACGCTTAGTGAAATAAGCCAGAAAGAAAAAGAAAAATACCGGATGGTTTCACTCACAGCAGGAGTATAACGGACCAGGCGAGAAAATAGTAATAATAAAGAACAGCTACCCACCAGAGACATTTTATGGGGGTGGAGTGGGGAGTGGGATCAAAAACAGCGGG